TGGCTTCGACTGTGCCAGTTGGAGAAGAGTTGTAAGAAAAGGTTCGGTGCATCCCCGGCCAGTGAGGCAGGTCGGAGTTGGAAGCGGCGTTTGGCCAGGCCTTTCGGTCAGAGAGGCGGGCCAGAGTTGGAAGCGAGCGTTGTTCCTTCTTGGCCAGGCCTTCTAGTCGGAGAGGTGGGCCAGAGTCAGAAGCGAGCGCTGTTCCTTCTTCACCAGGCCTTCCGGTCGGAGAGGCGGGTCAGAGTTGGAAGCGGGTGCCGTTCCTCTTGGCTAGGCCTTCCGGTCGAAGATTGGATCACCCTTCTAGCTTGTCGTTAGCTATTTGGGTCGGCCCAGGAGTTGCGCGTCGTTCGCAACGTCGTCTGCTGGGCCGAGCTTTTGCTGGGAAGCAGGTCCATGAGGGACCCCAGGTTTATGAACCCGACATGTTCCTTTTTGTACTCGTCCCAAACATCCTTCACACCCATTTCAAGCATCTCCACTAGTTCATCGATCACTGGTTCCAGAAACATATCGATGTCATTACCAGGTTGTCTTGGCCCTTAGATCAGTAGTGGCATATAGATGTACGACCGCTTCATATAGAGCCAAGGTGGAAGGTTGTATATATAGAGCGTCACTAGCCAGGTGTTATGATTGCTTCTAACCTAGTTGAAAGGATTCATCCCATCTGTGCTCAAACCAAACCAAAGGTGTCTTACCTCTCCACCGATGTTCTTATAGAATATAGTATTAATAGTCCTCCAGTCCTTCCCATTGGCGGGGTGCCTCGTCATTGTATCTTTCTTACGCTCTTCGCCATGCCAGCGCAATAGTTTGGCTGACTTTGCAGTTGCAAACAGCCTATGCACCCAGGGAGGTATAGGAAAATATCAAACAACCTTTATGGGACGTCCTCTAGTCTTGGTACCCTCATCTAACGGCCCTTCCTTGTACCGTGGAGCTTCACACTTAGGGCACGCATCCAAGTCTTTGTATTCGTCTCCACGGTACAATATGCAATCATTGGAACACATGTGGATTTTTTCAACCTCGAGGCCGATGGGGCAGATCATTTGCTTGGCCAGGTATGTCTTTTCTGGCAACTCGTTTTTTCCTAGGAGCAGTTTCCTTATTATACCTAACAACTGATCGAAGCCTTTATCGCTCAATCCATTTGTCGATTTGAACTCTAACAGCAAGATGTCGACTTCCAATTTGCTCACTAGACAATCCTTATACAATGGTGTTTTGCCATCTTGTCTCATTTTCTCTAGCTTTCTTAGCTGTGTTTCACTAAGACATCCGCTCTCTACATTACATAGCAGCTGATAAATGCCATCATTATTCTCGGTGTCGTCAGCTAGCGTGTTCCTAAACATATCATTAACTGTGTCCATAGGTTCCGTGTTGACTTTGGCAACAGTGAGAAACTTGCCGACACCTTGCATGTTTCTCATTCCCAGCATGGGCTTTGGCAACAGTGAGAAACTTGTCGACGCCTTGAATGTACCGGTTGTCTGTTCGGGACAGATACATCCACTCTTGATCCATCTCTGCACAACAAAATATTGACACAGTATTTATAGAGAAATTAATAAAAGTGGAGCTTGATAAACAATAATTGTTGCTTGAAACTATAATTTATTCTACACTTATTTAATTTAGTCACCCTATTTTTGGAAAACATTATTGTACACTAATTATTGGAAAATTGGAATTGGTAGCCTCGGCCATATAAATTGAAAATCGTAGCCCCATAAAAAAACAATTATTGCACAATAATAAAGAACAATTATTCTACTCCATGCCACATAAAAATAGAGACACTAATTAAAAAACACTAAAATTGGAGACATGATCATGAATAACAATGTAACTCCAAACAATGTGTTGGTAGGTGACACATGGATTAATTTGCTCACCAAAATTGTAAAAGAATCTACTCTAATCCTAACAAGAACTAATTATAGCCTCACATACTAACAATCATCTTGACCACCATGTAATTAGCTAGGAATTTAAATATGTTCAAAGACACCAATCTTTTGGATGATGGATTCACCATAATTTGCTTGGAAGCTTTGCACAAAGTCCAATTAGAAAAGTGCTCTCTAGAATGGAGAAAGAACTATAATAAGAATCAAGCAATGTAGCCACCAAAACAACGCTAATTAAGCAACAAAATTAAAGGAGTGGATGCTTGTTACTAACCTTAAAACAAGAAGATCAACCCATACTTCCAAATCCAAGAGCTAGCTTCATGGTGAAGAGCGGCCGCAACAATGGAGGGAGCAGCCCAAACACGTACCTCTGTGCTCGGGATAGAAGAGAGGAGGAAGGAGAGTACGGCGCCAGTTTTTTGTATTGTCATTTTATCACCGTCGATTCTTGGCTCGAACCGACAGTGATAGCCTGAAATCACTGTCGGTTCTTGGCTACAACCGGCAATGATAAGTGGCCGTCAACTCATTGCCGGCGCAAGTCACGAACCGGCAGTGATGTGGGCCTTCACTGTCAGTTTTGGCCCACCCCAATCATTTTCTGATTTTCAAGCTCAGAACCGGAAGTGAAGGTACATCACAGCCGGTTCACCCAAACCTGACAGTGATGAGGCCGGCAGTGATGTCTGTTTCTGTAGTAGTGTAGCCTGCGTACGGTGTTGGATGCGGCACACCGGCAACGAAGGCCTACTGATTGGGAGTACCGGGACGCCGGCCGCTGGAGCACGGAAGGGCATGGGCCAAGCCTAGACCATGCCTTGCCACGGGTTGTAGCCGACGGCCCATGGTGTGTTGGGGAAGTTGGGCCTTGGTCCCGTGGACGACGATCCAACGTTGGTGGGGAAGGATGGCGTGCCGCCGCCACAGCCGCAACGCCGCCTGGATCGGTTTCTGCTAGAGTAGGCATCGTGGCCGACGGTGTTGCTGAAACCGCCAGCAGTCGGAGGAGGCCCGCCGTTGGTGCCAGATCCAGAGCCGCCACGAGAGGACCGCCAGTCGATGGAGCACCGGTGGCGGTTACCACCTTGGGCAACCATGGCGTGATGCGCAGCCAGCTTGTCGTGCTGATTTTCGTAGAGCTCCTCCAGCAGGAGGAAGGAGCAGGGCAGAGAGGAAGGTGTGCGATGGCTGCTTGGAGGTGATGGTGGAGATGGCGTGGTGATACTTGCCATTCAGCTCGCGCAGCATGTTCAAGACCTAGGACGGCTCAGGCACCGGCTGGCCGAGGTCGTGCGTTGCATCGGCGAGCTCCTTCAGCTTGGCGGTGTAGTCGATTGGTGATGCTGAGGTCGCCTGGTATAGGCTGCAGTATTCGGCCTCCAGGTACACGGCATGGTGCAGCTGGTGATCACGGAAGAGGTCGACGATGGCGGCCCAGATGGTGTAGGCGGTGGCGCCGGGAACACGGATGATGCACATAACGTCGCGCGTCACGGTATTGTAGATCCAGTTGACCAAGCACTGGTCGACCATGATCCAGTCCGGTCAGCGCAGTGAGCGGCAGTTGGGGCGGCGGCGATGTGGGATTAGAGGCCGAACTTGCCGACGACGGAATCGAAGAAGCATCGCCACTCGGGGTAGTTGAGATTGACGATGTCGAGGACCGTCAGAACATGGGATTTGATGTTGATCGTCTGAAGCGAGGATGTAGGAGGAGGTGGAGGCGGCGGCGGCGGCGCCCAGCGTTCGCCATGGTGGAACGGGGCGGTGAAAGAAGCAACAGAGGAAAAGGAGGAGGGAGAGGAACCGCCATGGACGGATTGCTCAAACTCGAACAGCGGATTGGTGTCCATGGCGAGCAGCGGAAGAGGTGAGTGCTGGCGACAGGGAATCAAACCACGCTATCTGATACCATGAAACAGAGTTGGATCAACCTCAGCATGTATTGATCCCATGAACCCATATTTATAGAAGTACAAACTTGGCAACCTCTGCTGGGAAAACTGCTTTATGCGCGGTAGAAGACCATCCGCGTAGCGACTAAGCAGAGGCGTGGCGTGCGCGTCGTGCGCAGAGCGGGCGTCGTGCGTGCGCGCGTGTTTGACCCATGCGGTATGACGTGTACAACCGTGTACAGGACTCCGTTATCAACAACTACACTTAGACAATCAAATCCTCCGCCAATTCTTGGTCAGCCAGCACATCGGTCGGCTAAGTGGATGATAGCTTCAAAACACACATAGTCGTATATTATATTATGACAATGTTGTTGATATGGGCTACCTCATAAGTAAGAAGACGGCTAACATGCTAATGCAGGAGTGCAGAACTAGAAAAGAGTAGCTAGAGTTGAATATGCTGCTCAGGAACTAAAATGTCATTTTGATCGAACATAAAACTATGTATACACATTGTATTTTGCAAATTAAGTTGGGTATTCCTAGCAATACCCAAGAATCATGCTGCCTCCGTCTATGCAACTCCAAGAGACTCTTTATATCATTTCTAATTTATAGGAATTAAGATTATGATGAAAATATACCCTCCAGCAAACCTCTTTAATTAAATCTCCAAATATAGACCCCATCCTATATTTCAGCTGGCTAACAAAAAAAGTGGAGAGCCAAGATGGCTTTGTAGAGTGTGTGCAAGATATAGAAAAGCTGTTTGATTGTATAAAGATATAGAAATCGATTTTTACTCAAATGAGTTTTAGAAAGATTTGTAGATGCTATGGTAAGAATAAGAAGAGTGTTCGTGCGAGCTTGTAACAGTAACCCCGCGGAGCAAGACGTCCACGGCAAACAATGGCAATCTCCATGCTAGCACCAAAGCGATACACCGACACATATAGACAGAGACACCCTGCCAAGAATTGAAGGGAGAGGAATCTAAAGTTCTAAACCCTACAAAAATCCAAAGCGCACAAGCTGCGCGAGCGCCATGCGCCAATGTCATCCGCTAGCTGCTGCCGTTGGCACATCCCCGTCAAGCGGCCGCGTGAACCTCCAAAGCAAATTAAAGCACTCGACCGGCTCTGATCATCGCGCGGTCCGTCCCTTTGCCATGCTAATGCGATCAGCCGGCCAGGTCGTGGAGGAGCTGGAACCCGGTGGCGGCGCTGAGGCCCCGGTGGTAGTGCGAGGAGGCCACGCCGTCGCCTTGCATGCTGGCGGAGAACTGACTGTGGTGACCGTGTCCGTGGGACGGGTGCACGGCGCCACCCGCGACCATCTGCTGCTCGCCACCGCCTGCCATGAACAGGAACTCGTGCGCCGCCGACGGAGCGGCGGCGAACGCGATGTTCACGCCGCCGTGCGGGTCGTCCGCGTGCTGCTGCAGCCCGAGCGTGAGCGACACGCCGCCAGAACCACCGCCACCGAACCCGCCAGCTGGCCCGCCGGCCGCGGCGGGGTCGTCGTTGTATGCGTCGAAGTCGAGGTGGTCCATCATGCCAAAATTGATGCTGCTGATCTGCTGCTGCTGGTCCTGCCTGCTGCTGCCGATGCTGACGACTGAGGCTAGCGACCCGGCGTCGTGGACCAGCTGCGCCCGCGTCGGCTTCCGCTCGCCGCCGCCGCCGTCCACGCCACTGGCGCCCCCGTGCCCCAGCTGCTGCTGCCCTAGCTCGTAGGCGTAGCTGCTAGTGTTCACGCTGTTGTTCGCGTTGCTGCAGGCGCCGCCGCCCTCCTGCTGCGGGTCCTTCATCTCCTCCGAGTACATCTCCTCCACCATCGGCTTCCACAGCCTGACCCTCGCGTTGATGAACCAGTTGGAGACCTGCATGCCAGTGCACGCACCACACCACGCACGCGGTGGGCGCGCAACAGAGAGCGGTTGATTAGACTCTTTCCTTCCTCTCGCACGAGAGGAGAGGACAGCAGACGCGCACGACTCCGACGTGGTACCCGATCGATGGGGCACCCACAACGCCGGCCGGCCGATGCGTGTGCCATCAGTTTTGGTTTAGTGGGACATTAGAAAACGGACAGCATTGCAAATGCAGGTATGCTTAGCGATGCAAATAAGGCAAAATGATTATGTGGTGTGCCACTGCTGCCGAGCGGCATCTAGTTAGTTGTTGGATAGGAACTGGTTAGCATTAATCTGTACGGACTTTGTTGGATAGTTGATGATCGATCAGCTGATCGATGACAAACTAGTATAGATATCGAAGAAGCAAGCGTACGTACTTGGCTGCGTGATAGGCCCGTCTGGCGCGCCAAGATGTGCTTATCCACGTCGCTTGGATACCTGGATAAGAGAGGATACACACCAGCTAGGGGCATTAGTTTGTCTTCCATCGTATAGGATAGGATGATGATGTGTGCTAGTCGTGCAGTTTGGAAAGAAGAAAAAGAAGAATCCATGAGCACGCAGTGTAATGTAACATATATATTGTTATACGATATCTAGAGATATTGATGTATTTGCTAAAAAAAGATATTAATGTAAACTGTGGATGGACATATGCTACTTTTTTCCCGACGTAAAAGATTTGCGCATCATTGTATTAAGAATAAGAGTTTAAACAAACATACAACGCGCTTGTATCGAGCGCCGAAGGAGGTCGACCTAATACAGCCGAAGCTGGACCGAAAAGACCTCATATTTTGATATTACATAAAAGGAAACAACCAATATCAACGCAACTTTGTGACCTAGGAGGTGGCCTTGTGTCTTCGCGGCTGCCTGGACAGTGCCTTTCCAACGGCCAGGAAGAGCTCGTCCAGCGCCTCGGCTTCGGATGCAGTCAGGTTGCCGTCAAAGAGCCTGTCAAAGGTCTCCAACTCCGAAGCGGATGGCGCAGATGGACCCTTGGTGTAGCCCATACGTTGCATGATTAACATCTCACCTCGCTTGGAAGCTAGCACTCGGGAGAGGCTCTGAGCCGCCAACCGCCTGCTCCGCCACGACAGTACCGGCTTAGCAGGAGGCTCGCGAATCAGCGGAGAGTCCCTCTTATGCGTGACATTGCTGATGAAGTTGTCGAGGCGTCGTTTGGCGGAGTCGTCGTTGTCCACCGCCTGGTGGGTAACCCCCGGTGGTGAACTGGGAAGGCCATCAACCGTGAGGTCGATCGTGTGTGTTGTCGGTGAGTGCACCGCCCACTGAATGGGGCACGACGGTGGTGTTCGCAACTCACCAGAGACCACCGCCGGGTCCCCATCCTCCAGCTGGGGGGCTACCACTATCAGGGACACAGCCGGAAGCTGGGGGGTCGCCGAAGTTGACGGGAGGCGCTCATGAGAAGGCCACGCGTCGATCGAACTGCCGATGAGCGAGACTACAAACTCCTCAACCATCGGGTCCTCCGAGATGTCGCGATCATGCATGGCGCCCAGGTACCGCGTGAGCGTCAATGGGTCAGGCTAAACGATGTCCGTTGTGTTGGTCGGCCCACCGTGCCATGCCTGAGCACCAGCGGCGACCGAAGTGAAGTCCGGTGTCGCTTGGGAGGCCCCTGTCGACCGGCCGTGACTGTCGGTGGCGACACTCGTTGCCGCAGTGGTGTCGTCCCCCTTCTGTCGGCATCGATGTCTCCGACGTCTCCGTTGTCTGCGCCCACCGCCACCGCGCGACCTGGCACAACTGCAGCCACACCTGGCACAGCTCCAGCCGTGCACGACGTCCCGCCCTAGGTACGCGGCCGGTTTCCCAAGGTACGCTCTCGGACAGGGCGTCATTGCCGGCCTTCTGGGGCATCGACTGTGCCGGAGCTGGAAGGAGGCACCTTCTGCCCCTGTTTACAGTCACGCGCGAGGTGTCGGAACCCCTTGCATCGAGGTAGCGTGGGGGCAGCTTGCAGGTTGCCACCCTGTGCGCGGTGGAGAAGCAGTTGAGGCACTTCCCGTGCAGATCCGCCGAATAGAGGGTAGGGGCCCGCTGGTTCGCCGATGCAGTGCGGGCAGGGCGAGCCCCCTAGTACCGCTTAACGACCCCTGCGACAAGACCTCACGCCAGTCGTCGGTGTCCGGAGCGGAGATGCGCTGGCGGGCGGAGCCCTGTCCGCAACGTTTGAGGCATTGCTGGGCGGGGTCACGGCCATCCACGGGCCGAGCAGGCAGGCTGTGCACCATCTGGGGGCGCGGCCGTGGCTGGCGTGTCCTGCGATTGCGCCGCCCATGCACAGCGCCAGCACCAGTAGCACTGTTGTGCGTGCCTCCTGTGACGTTGGCTGGCCGGGCTCTGTCAGCCATGGGGCGCCTGCCCTGCTCAGCAGCAGCGTTGCCGCGAGAGCCTCCGACGATGAGGCATGGCTTGGCACGCTCCAGCAAAGGCGACGTCCGGAGCTACGACCGTTAGCGGACTGCGTCGAGGTAGGAGGTTGGGGAGCTGACCAGCGACCTCTCTGCGTCGGAGTCGTCAAGGTCCTCAGCAGCCCAATGATGAGCCTTGGAATGCCCCATTGAGCCGTCCCCAGGGTGGAAGGGGGAGGCGAGGGGGGATAGAGAGGACGATAGGTTGGGCGCAAAGGGGTGGACGTGGAAGATGTCGAGCCGCGACGCCGGAGTAGGCCGCTGCGGCGAGCTGGGCGCCAAGACGTCCTCGACGAGGACCAGCGACCCGTCCTCCATCAGCGGCGACTCGGGCTGGGCGGCGGCTTTCTCAGGTGACGTTGGCGGCGGCGCGGCCTCCCCGCAAATGGCCGAGGTGTCCGCACCCGGCCCAGCGGCCACAGCGCGTTTGCCGATCGCGGCGTTGATGGCCACGGCAGCAGCAGCCTCCAGCGATGTCGAAGGGGGCGGAAAGGGTGGGCCCTTGACTGTCGGTGACCCAGCGCCCATGGCTGGCAGATCTTGGACGGTGCCGACGCGGTTAGAGCCTCCGGAGCGGCAGGAGGAAGCGGGGTCCAGCAGCTGCGGCGCACCAGGAGGTGGCGTTGCGATGGTGGGCAGCGCGGGCCCAGATCCACACCCATCCAGCCAACCCTGCGCCAGTGTACGAGGCGGGTGGGGGACCGGCGCTCCTGGCGTCGCTGAGGGCGGCACGGGCCCCTCCGTTGCCGACGGCGGCGGGGCGGGGGCCTGGGAGGGAGAGGGCGCCGCCGGCGGTGGAGAGGCCGCCAGATGCGCATGAGGTGGGCGGGGAGCCGGGCTCCCTGCACGCGACTCCTGTGTGGGCGAGGAGGAAGGGAGGGGGAGGCGCATAGGGGAGGGGAGGGTGGCAGGGAGGGGGAGGGCGCCGGCGCCGGCACGGTGGCGGCTGGGCAGGCTCCAAGGCTAGGGTTCGGACATATGCTACATGGAATGTTCGTACAAGACAAGTGTGGTATATATTTGATGCAGACATTGTAACAGTAATGGAGGAGAAGAACAATATTGTATTGATTGTCAACTCAAGTGCTAGCTATACTTAACAAGCCAGTTCTTGATCAATGATGAGGGATAACCTAATAAGCACATTACATTATTGTATTCACAAAGAAATGGAGTATACCGTCCCAATATGATTTATCCATGCATGGAGATTAGTGCTGCACCTAATTAAAGCACCATAACCATGTAATGTGGTATCTTACACAAGTGGAGGGACGAGCTTTACTCCCGGTGGAGAACCCCCTCTAGTCCCGGTTCCCCACCCGGGAGTAAGCATCCGGGACTAAAGGGGTCCTTTAGTCCCGGGTCAGGACCTTTAGTCCCGGTGCATAACACTAACCGGGACTAAAGGTTCTCCTAGCTTTAAAAAAATAATGCCTCCCACCGCTGCGTCCCGTGAGATTCGAACCCAAGACCTCATGCATTGCCTCGCGTGTAGCTTACCACCCCACCTACACAACACATCTAACAATGGATGGGATGCTTTCCTTTTGAACTAACCCATCGGGAGACCTTTAGTCCGGGTTGGTGTTACCAACCGGGACTAAAGGGTCTACCTTTAGTTCCGGTTGGTGTTACCAACCGGGATTAAAGGTTGGAGGACTTTTAGTCCCGGTTGGTGTCTCCAACCGGGACTAAAGGTCCCCTGCCACTGTGCCGAGCGCAGTAGCCGTTGGATAGGGACCTTTTGTCCCGGTTGGAGATACCAACCAGGACTAAAGGTCTCTCTAGTCCCGGGCGCAAAAAATGCCGGGACTAGAGCCCATTTTAACCTCGGATGAAAGATCTGTTCTCTACTAGTGTTATTTGTTTCATTGGGACGCTAATTAATATAGTAAGAAAATAGTATTGCAACCAAGCAAGTGGCATATATATATGGGATGGGGCTAACTAAATAGGAGTATATTGTAACCAAGCAAGTGGCATATATATATGCTAATTAATATGATATTCAGTTACAACATATTGTAAAATAAATTAAGGGTCAAAATCTATTTTATTCAACTTTTGACTGATCAAAATGAGCTTATCATTTTTGGATGGAGGGACAAGTATATAGGATTCATGGATGCCGAGCAAATAAACTTTAGAAACTTTTGCACAAAAATACACAAAAGTATCATTTGTAACATGAAAATGTTGCTAATTAATTTGTCACAACAAATACATGCATTGGAAAAACATAAAAAGTCTATATTTTTAATAAATTTGAACAACAAAGGTTAAAAATGAAAATGGTAAAAGGCATGCATCAGAGACCAGAATGTTCAAATTGTCAACTAGAGAAAGAACAGGAGTCTTTGACTGTATCCAGTGGAAAGAAAATGTATATGGCTCAGAAAGAATGATGCCACACATAATAGAACACATGGTAAAATATTACTTAGTATGTTCCAAATTATAAGACGTTTATTTTGGTTTTTTTATAGATTTATTATGTATCTAGACATAATATATATCTAAGTGCATGGCAAAAACAATGCATTTTAGAAAAGCCAAAACACCTTATAATTTGGTATGGATAGAGTATTAAGAATGACAAGCACTATTTTTGGGAGTAGGATGATTCACATGGATGACGTTATTTTGGTTTTTCTAGATACATTATATTTATTACGAATCTAGACATAGTGTATATCTAAGTGTATATAAAAACTATGTATTTTAGAAAAGCCAAAATAACTTATAATTTGTAATGGATAGAGTATTAATTAAGAATGACAACCACTATTTTTGGGAGTAGGATGATTCACATGGATGATTCTTAGCCTTAGTTTGTTGGGAAAAAATTAGGTAGGGGACTCCCGTACGCAGCATCATGTGGCTGTCCAGTGAACCCGCGGCACGTGGATCTTCAGTTGCGATCCTGCCGAGCCAATTTTGCCGAGCTTGCCACATGTCGTCATCTGAGTGGGCAGCCGCACGGTGCCGCATACGGGGTCGCGTACCCAATTATTTTTCCAGTTTGTTAGGGTATGACTTCTCTTAGTTGTTTAGACACCGGGATGATATCTTTACCTTGTGCAGCCATCCTATACACAAGCGTGCAAATTAACTGAGCAAAATGGAATTAGCAAGAGTTGGAACGATCATATTACGGGTGCAAGAAGTGCTCGAACAGCCAGGCCCGGAGGATGGATACGGCGCGCTCCGGCAGCCCGCGCTGCGGCCTCCACGGCTGGCTCTCGAGCACGCCGGCCTGGTACGCCCTGTGCTGCCTCAGGCACTGGTCGATGGCCCGCAGCCTGGGGGTCGTCTCCCCCTGGGCCATCCCGGCCGCCGGAACGCCGTCCGCGTCCTTCTCGCCGAGCACCCGGCGCACCGCCTGCATCTGCGCCGCCACCCCATCCCTCAGGCTCCGGAAGTGCTTGGATATCGTCCGCGACGCCAGCCTCGTGTACGCCGCCGCCGCCTGCTCCCCGGCCACCGCCTCGAAGGACCCCGCCACCGCCCTCATCTGCTCCCGGTACCTCCGGTACCTCCTCTCCACCTGCATCACCGTTAAAGTTAGCAGTTAGCACCAACCAAATTGGACGCCATGCAAGTAATGAAGCTCTCGATCACAAACGGCAATGTAACAGTAGCTGCAAGCCTGCAACAGGCCAACAACTTCCCAGATTGATGACACTGTAGCTTCTGCTGGTACTCGTGTACTTGGCTTTGACTAGTGCAGTGATGCTGATGCACCCTGCAACTCTGCAAAACGATCAGGGTGGCTCTGGCTGCACCTACCAATGAATCGCACTGTGCAGCATATACAGGAACAGCAGGCAGGGGTAAATGTGAGAGAGGTTAAGGCCTTGTTTAGATTGAGGTTATGAATCAATATTTGATACTATAACACTTTCGTTTGTATTTGACAATTATTGTCCAATCATGGTCTAACTAGGCTCAAAAGATTCGTCTCGTAATTTACAATCAACTGTGTAATTAGTTATTTTTTTATCTACATTTAATATTCCATGCATATGTCCAAAGATTGATGTGATAAAGAAAAAGTGAAAAAACTTGCAATCTAACGAGGCCTGTGACCAAGACGATGGAGCACAGGAGATGGGCACCGTCTGAACTCCGAAGCTAGGAGGAGAGGGAGGGAGAGTAGACTAGTAGTGGAGCAGTGCTAGCTCTGCAGAGATCTGGGCTGCAGATGCACGGTGATGGGCTCACGGCACGGCCCTACTGATCTGCGGGAGCTACAGCCTACAGGCTACAGGTTACCCTGTACAGACGCGTTGCTACACCTGCACTGCAGGCCAGGAATGGAGGTTTCCAAAAGCAGATGGCAAGGCCCCAGAATGGTTTTCCAGGGGCAGGAGGCCAGGAGGTGTCTTCAGACAAGCCATAACTGAACTCCCGCTTGCATGCAGCTTTTTAGATTTCCAAGGACAAGCAAGGGCCTGTGCCGTGTGTGATGGTAATTGTCACTTGATGAGGCGTGGAGAGTGATGAGCGATCAGAGAGGAGGAAGACCTCTTGGAGCATGGCGTAGAGCTTGGCCTTGAGCCTCTGCAGCTCGGACGCATTCATGGCCTGGATCTGCGCCGACGGGGCCGAGGACGAGGAGCCGACGCCGTCCTCGCTCTCTGGCTTCGTGGGTAGCTTGGAAGCAGCAGCTGTGCTGGTGGTGTCCACGGGAAGGGTGCAGAATTCTTGCAGGAGCTGCTGCGTCGGGCGTAAGAACCTGGAGCCGCGCAGGTGCCACGCGCCCTGCTGCTGTGGCCACGCCCCCGGCTGGTGCTGCCCTGGCACGCCGCCGGCGAGCTGCTGGTGGTGGTGCAGCGCCAGCAGCGCGGCGTCGGCGGTCCCGTGGAGCGACAGCGACAGCGGCGCCTGGAGACCCTGCCGACGGTGGTCGCCGAAGTTCCCGCCGACGGGAGAAGCGACGTCGACGCGACCGAGCGCGGCCTTGCCGTGCGCCGCAGAGGCAACGGGGCCCGCCATCATCGCGGCCTGCGGCATGTGGCCCCTGCTGGCCCCGAACATCTCCACCCCGTGCTGGTGGTGCACGCCGTAGAGGTGAAGATCCTCCTCCCCGGCCCCGCCGACGGCGTCCACCTCCGGCACGAGCGTCGCCACGGCGCCGGCGGCCGCCGCCGCGAAGTAGTCCGCGTACGCTAGGCCAGCTGGCTCATCATGCGCCATGTTTATGTGTACTCCGGTCCGGCGGCGATGGATGGGATGGCTTGCTTCACGTTACACTAGACTGGAGACGAAAAGCTGAGCTCAGAATCGAAAGGCGGAGACGGTGTAAAGTACCAGTAAAGACAAAGGCGCCAAACGCAAGTAGCAGCGCCGACGAGGAAGGAAAAGGAAGCGAAGGAGACGCAGCGCAGGCAGCGTCGGCAGCGACGACGCACGCACCTTTGCGCCGAGCAGAGGGAGAGCGCAGGGCCGTACATAGCTTTTCCCACTGGGCTGAGGCGACGAGGATAGACAGCGCCAGTGCCAGCACTCATATAGGAGTCCACTGGGCTGAGGCGACGAGGATAGACCAACCAGCGGACAGGCCGAATCGCAGATCGACATGACGACATCCTAGCTGCGCCAGACCCAGACGACGAGACGAGAGAGAGCGCGCGGCCACCGGGCGGGTGCGGATGAGTGAAGCAGCGACTGATGAGCGAACCTGTGGTGTGGCTCGCTCGTCGGTCGCTCGCTGGTGCCTGGTGGCGGTTGCAGCGTCACTGTTCCGATCGTTAGTTCCGACAGATTCTCCCGCCTGCTGATGCTGCTCGCACTCCTGCTCCACCGCAACTCCAAACGTGCGTGCTTGCTGCTGTACGAGTAGTAGTGTTTACTAGTACAATACTTGGCGATGGCAGTTGGCAGGAGGATGGCCAGTGCATGACATGATGCCTCGAGATTAGTATGCAGCGATTGACCGATGCATAGGCGAGTCCAGCCAGCAGCACTGCGCAGACGCAGAGAGCCGGGCCGACGAGCCTGCAGCTGGTTACTGTAGCAGCGAGCGCTAGTGCCGCCCCGGTGGGGAAAGAAAAATCAGCCGAGCCGCCGACGGTGGGGCCAGGAGACCTACGTCCGTGGTCCACGGCTGCCAACCAACCGCCATTTGAAAAACAGCCCTGATGGAGGCAACGGTGGGGCCCAGATGAGCCCCGGCCTGTACTATGTGTGGGGGCCGCCCACGTCACTCTCATACCTCTCCCTTGATTTTGCTTCGTCCTTAATTAATCCGGCTAAGTGCGCAATCCTTCCTCTCATTGACTCAGCTTCTCCCGTGTGCCCGTGTGAATGAAGATAATAAAGCGAGCCCTGTATATTTTACTATTCCAATCATGCATGTAGACAGCACCTTTTGTAAGCCGAGGTAGAAACAAATCATGTACTTAAATTATACATTGTCAGCTACAATCCATATTTTCAAACACAATTGTCAGTTTTTACGATCTAAGATGTAATCTGCTTCTCAAATTACTTAACTAAGATATAAACAGAATCTCAGAATCGAGGATTATCTTCACCTGAAGAAAGATCTGGCACCCCATTCCCATCACTAGGTAATATCCCCTAACTTTATTGACTGGATTGCCAAAAAGTTGGTGGCTATGTACATTTCACTGCACCCAAGGCTGAACCGATAAGATCCCTGAGTAGAGATCTGATGTTGTCGAGTGAAAGTGTGAAACCGCATAAGCCGAGTGAAATTAAGTAAGCCTAATTCCCCGCATGACATGCTCTGTTACCTGAGTAGAAACGGCTTGGATTAAGTCAACTAGATCCCTCTTGTTACTCTAAATCCATCTTCACCCAATTGTTTCCACGCATGCTTTCATCAAATTCTTGCTTTGCACAACATATTTATTCATTTTGGGATGAACATCCTTGACCACTCTCTTCTGAGAAACAATAATATGATGAGGAGATAATCAAGGAGTATGAGGAGGAAGTCTTTGGTGATACAGTTCCTAAAGCCACACCTAACTTGGATACTAACTCCAAGTTCACCCAAGGCAAGCCATGGTGCATCTCCCTACTTTTCCTACTACTAGCTATGAACTATTAAGCTATATATTATTGTGCATTAGGTTGTGTAGGAGTTGTCTGACACCATGATGCATAAAGATCCTGAACCCAAGAGTCTTACTAACACGATAGGTTCGGGTCAGGGGCAGATCTATATGCATAGTAGGGGTGTGGCTGCACTCACGAAAAATCGAAAAAATAGTGATTATGATCAATTTTTCATCGTATACGTACCAATACAGTAAAAATCTATGCACCCACGAGGCAAGCGCACCCCCTCGAATTTGCTCTAGCTCCACCCCTTGTTCGGGTAGCTACTAATGAGTGATGCTTTCATCACTCGTAAGAGATATAACCTTATATATTTCCCTCGTTACTGTTATCACTAATGCTCTTATGTTGGAACATGTGATGAATGATAAACTTGAGACCAAGCAGGAAATGAGATATGGACCAAGGGAACCTCACCGCCTATATATCAGCCCAGTATAGACAGGATGTGCCGAATACGACGAGGATGAGGCCCACCAGCACCAGGGTACGTCATCAGACGTGGTGGACAAGAAAACTACGAGGAAGATTTGGACATCGACTTCTACGGAGATATGATAGATTAGTTGTTATACTTTCCATGTAATCAACTAGAAAACATATTTGTAAACCGATCGGATCTTATAACCCTAACCCCCGGACTATATAAAAAGGGGGTAGGGACCCCCACATCGGTTCAATGCAAGCTACATCAGCACCCCTGTAAACTCAAGCATACGAGACAAGAGATCCTCCTCAAACTGGACGAAGGGTATCATGTACCTAAACCAGTATAAACCCTATTGACATCGTGTGCTTCGCTTCTGATTCCCTGTGCATAATACGCTGATCCATATTGCCAATGCTAACAATTCCAACAGTTGGTGCATTAGGTAGGGGCCTTTTGCGCACATATTCATTACGTTTCAGATGGGTGTTGTCTTCAACTTTGACGACATTGAGAAGATGCAACCAGGCGTCGAGATCACCTTCGGTGGTCTGGACTTCGTCGTCGACTAGCTCGGGAACTTGCATCTCCAAGAAGGCGAACCACCTATGTAGGAGGATGAGCAGCCGCCCTCCATCTGCCTGTTCCTCGTGGGGCTCGAGGACGCCATGGAAGCCAGGCCTCAGCTGGGCACATGAACCTCCACGCTCGGGAGGCCATCGCCGAGTTTAGTTGGGAGTACCTCCTTGACAAGATCTGGATTCTCTTCATGGATCCGTGCTGGGTACCCGATGCAGATCCAACACCGCTACCAGACTGCATCCTGACCGGTTTCTGAATCGAGATCAGGAATGTAGCGGCTACCTGGCTTTGCCAAGCCATCGAGGTATCCCCGATCCAGATCACCCCCGTATCGAGGGTGACTGGCCAGTGCGCTGCGACTACAATCGATTCGTCAGGATGGCAAGCATCCATAGCCTCGACAACAGGGCCACAAGAAACGACCCCATGCTCAACGCCGATCACGGTGCCGATAACTCCAACGGGGCTCCACTGCTATCGTCGACTCGGACATCTACGATGACATCATGGCCAAGTACCGTACGGGTGATGACAGAATTGGAGACAGCCCCTCGCCTCTACTTGAGTGCTACATGGCTTGAACCCAAGAAGATGACTACCACGGGAGGGAGAGATGACGTTGAGCACTCAGCAACGCACTCAGCTCCCCTCTTAATAGTACGACTATCGATGCTAAATCTGACCACATGCTCTATTGTGTCTTGGCCGGCAAAATAAAATCCCTAACTTATACCTTTGCCTTGATCACCATATAGATTTCTTTTTATCTTTCTTCTTTTCCAAGTGTGAGCTTGTTCCAATTGGATTGGTCACCATTCATCCATATACAAACCTTGCTCATCGCCTAGGTATGGACCTAACCTAGCTTAATGAACACTTAGCAACTGGTTGTCTCAATTTAAAAACCAAACATAGGGCTTTCAGTGAGGCAAAGCCGAGTGCCGCTCGGGTGCCACCGCCAATATTGGTGGTAGCATATGGTCAATATCAATATCTATTCTTCAAATTTAAGGTATTGTCTTAAAATTATTGCGCACTTATTAGTTTTACTATAGTTGGTATGATTGCTATGGGTGTTTACGTTTTTTTTTGTGCTTTTGGTCTACCGTGCTGGTAGAGTTCACCCCCACCTAGAACTTTTTTCTGGTCCGTCAGTGTTTTCCACCCAGCATGAACCTCCAAGAATGCACAAAACCACTGCGTGCATGCGTAGTATGTAGTCGCAGTCGCTATTCTGGTGCCCGCCTTTTTTAACTTTTCTGATTCATGCTGGGGGACATTCATGAATCTAGTATATAGGCTGCTGAAAGCAAATGAAAAGAAGGGAGAAAGAAACATCTGATGCCCATATCGCAAGTTAGCGCTTCTGCTTCTAGCTACTTTACCAACATTAGCAAAAGCCATAGTCATCAACGAAAACGACTCAAAGCAACACGAACTTTTAATCTTGGCAGACTACGACAGGTTTAATTCCACATAATAATATATATGTACACGCCAGGATGAAAACACAGGTCGTCTATCGTATCAGTCTTCGTCAACACATACCAACCTCCCTCAGTTCCTCCAATTCAAATTAAAACTCAGTAAGAACACCTCCAGTTGAGTCCAAACAGATTGATCACTACTCTGAATATAAAAAGCATAAGAATCAAGAGAGCAACCTAACCAATATATAAGAAAACCCTAGTAGCGTGTCACTTTCACCAAAATCTGGATTCGCATTTTTCTAGATAGCTATCACCAGATCTTCTTGTTCATTATATTCCTCCATCGTACTGCACCTGATTCTTTCATCGGATTATTCACACGTCACTCCTGGCGTTCGCATTGTGCCTGCACGGCTGCACTTGCGACTGCTTAGCAAGGAGCTGAGGGAGGAAACAGCAGTGGAACTTAATTTATGTGACGGTCCAGTCACCCAGATGTGTAATGCCAAATTTAGTTGGTTGGTATTTTGGTTCCTTGCAAAGTGCGTCGATTGACGATTATTATCACACAATTGATTACTTTTTTTTCAACGCGAGGAGTTCCCCATTTCCATTAAGCTAGCCAACGGAAATACAAAGCATTTGGATACAGACAGCCACAGAAGGTA